TTATAGATTTTGGATACTAGCCCTTCATCTGATATGTCATTTGCAACGATCTTTTCCCATCCCATCAGTTGCCTATTAGTTTTATTGATTGTTTCCTTTGCCGTAATCACTACTATTTTAAAAGAGCACACCTGTGAGTTGTGTCACAGAAGCCCCAAATTCACACCCCATGGGGAGCTTCTAGGTGGAGGCCGCCTCCCTTTGCCAAAGGCTACAAATGACAGACTCACTTGCAGAGATGTGTGCCATCTTACATACACCAGTAAGGTCCAGTAAGGGCTGGACCTCCTTTTAGGTGATGGGAAGGCGAAGAAACAAGGGTTTTTTCCTTCACCGCATCAGGCATTGAGCACTGTAAACCTGCCCGTAGAGTTCTAATGTATTTACATTGGAAAACAGGACTCTGAATTTGATCAGGTGGTATCACACACCCCTACTGGCAGAGAGGTGATAGCACGTGAGACAGGGCAATTGAGACTGAGGCCTCTAACTTGCAAACAGACAGTATACCATGAAAACCTGGTATATCAGAGGTTGACCTAAATCCTTAGCCCTTAAACACACACACTGGGGGCAAATGAAAGGCTGTGTGTCCCAGTAACACTTCTCTACCTGTACCTCACCCTGACTGGGATAATCCCCCCTGGAACTTCTGGGATGGGGAAGCACAAGCCTGTAACACAGCAATTCCTGTTACATTCTAACAGTAGAAACAACAACGGGTTGTTTTACTTGTTCCAAACGGTCCTGCTATGGTCTGTTTGTGTCCTCTCAAAATTCATATATTGAAACCTAACCCCCAAGGTGATGGCATTTGGAGGTGGAGCCTTTGAGACATGATTGGGAGGCTCTGCCCTCATGAATGGGATGGGTGCCCTTTACAAAGATACCTGAGAGCTCCCTCATCCCTTCCACCCTGCGAAGATAGGACACAAGAAGGCCGCAACCCAGAGGAAGGCCCTTGCCAACCACACTGGCAGCCTGATTTCAGATTTTCAGCTTCCAAAACTGTGAGGTATGAATTCATTTATAAGGTACGCAGCCTGTGGAATTTTCTTATAGCAGTCCACACAGATTGAGAGAGGCCCAACTACCTCATCAACTTAGGTTTCCTCTGCTACTATGGCAACACACTAAGGCTGGTGGTTGTATGGCTCATTAGCTATCCTATCCATATTGCTAAGACTGTCAAGAAATGTAAAGGGTGTAAGATTTTTAGCCCATTTACACACCAGTAAGTTAGCCTGCCAGTTGCACGGATGCTGATAGAAGACATGAGATGCCAGGGACAGAGACAAAGGCAGTATTATTCATGCACAACAGGCAGCAAGAGCTTTGTGTTCACATCTCTTCCTTTTGCTTCCACAAGTCTCACAGGAGCCAGGCAAAGAGGTCCAGGCAGATGCTGCACACACATAGGTTCATGTCACAGCTGGAGAAAATTAAGCTCAGAAAACCCATCTTTTCAGTTGAATTAAAAATGCCCCTGCCCAACATTTGCCTCAGAGAAAAAGATTATCTCTAGTACATTGGCCAGGTAGTTAGTCTACCCTTTTACCCAAGAAAGACAGTATTGCCATCCTCAGAGGCTGTCACACAAAAATCTTTGCAAGTTAGTCCAGGACAGAAGCTGAAACAAGATATGGAAAAGAAAAAAAAAACAACAACAACAACGCTGAGAGGATCATGGAGAATTGTTTCCCAGTAGGGTTCATCTTTCCCTTTAAAATTTGGTGATGACTGATTGAGTAAAAGATCCATTAAAGATTTTTGATACCAAGACTGCTCTTGGTTGTATGGCACTGTGGGACAGTGAAAGACTGAAGGAACAGGAAGAGACACAGATTTACCAGGAGACTTCACAGGAAAGACAGATCCAAAGGAACAGTGGCGTCAACCTGCATGAGCAAGGAGAGGTGAGAGCAAATGAATAAAAGGAACAATATCACATATTCTCAGTGAATTGAAACTTGTTAGCTTATCAGAAGAAAATAGAATACATTACCCTAACATACAGCAAATCAATTCTGGATGGATTGCCAACCTAAATTTTAAAGTGATGTAAAGGTTTTAAAAAAGGAGAATAACCATCATCTTAGAGTAGGAAAGAATTTAATGAACAGAACAATAAACATTATCTATAAAGGAGAAAATTGTTATATTAACATTAAGACTTTCTCATCATCAAAGCACAACACACACCGGAAAGACCAGGAGAAACAGAGAGAGCATGAGGTAAAGAGACCAGCAAAGGAAACTTGTCCAGCAGATACATGGAATTACTACAAATCAATAAGAAAAAAAATGCAGCAAAAAAATGGTCAAAAGAAACTAACACATACTTTAAAAAGAGGATGCCCAATGTCTAATAAATATGTGAAAGGATGCTCAACTTCCATAGTAATCAAGGAAATTAAAAGAAAATCACTACTTGGTACCATCATACTCCAACCAGAAGTCAAAAAGAAAAATGAAAAAAATATTAGAACTGTTGACAAGGAAGTGCACAAACCAAAAATCTCTTACACCGTTGGAGGATGTGAAACTGCATTTTCCAAACCCATTAGGCACTATCTCCTAAAGCTACAGAACTATAAACCTGTCACCCACCAGTTCCACCATTACTTATATAGCCAAAAGAAATATGTATGTGTGCCCACATTTAGATAGCAGAGGTATTCCTAATAGTCACAAACTGGAAACCACCCATATGCTAATTAATGGTAGAATGATTAAATACATTGTTTACATACACACAACAGAACCCTATACAGCAATGCCAATGAATGATTAATAACAGCATGCAGCAATAAATTCACAAACAACTGAAGGAATGACAAAAGCGAATACAAAAGAGTTAATTCCCTATTACCTCCTTTATGTAAGATGCAAGATTGGCTAAAGTGACCTATGTTGTGCCATGCATGTCAGATGGCCCAGAGAAATAGGGAGTGGTAAGGAGCAAAAGTCTGACAATATTCTATTTATTGATCTAGGTACTGAGTACAGAAATGTGTTTACTTTGTGAAATTTCGTTAAGCAATACATTTATGACCAGTACATGTCTTTAAATCTTCAAATACTTATCAACCTCAAAAAAATAGGATATGGTAAATAGATTAGAGCTGTCCATATATTGTAAAGGTGGGGTTTAATAACATTAAATAAAATGACAATGTGATTAGCTTTTAAATGTATGCTGAAATTTCTAGGTAAAACTGAGAAATAGTGAGTATACAACTTCAAAGAAAGAAGTTGTTATAATGTAGAATTATAAATTAATTAAAGTTATATTTGGCAATCCATAGAAAAGAAATTAACATAGATTAAAGAAGAAAATATACCCCTTTGACATTCAAATATATCAATTATTATATTCAAGTTGAATGGATTATTTATACTTTAAAACTCAAGCAATTTTTACTATGTTCACTGGAGTTTTTCATAAGAGGTATGGCAAAGGCATTGAATTAAACTATAAAAATTAAAAATACATTTTATGGAATGTACAACTGGCAAGGCAATATACACATACTATAACATACATTTGGAATTTTGTCATAACTATAACTAGTACTATTTAAAATTGTTCTTAATGTACAATTTTCCGTATGTTAATTGATAGATAACAAACATAATTAAGTCTACATTTATATGTATAAAAACGCAGAGATACAGATACAAGTATAGATCCCTACACACAATAATTGAAGGTAGGCATGTATTTACATGTTCTTCTTCTTCGTGTTTTGTGATCTAAAAATGTGGCAAATATTTATGTGCCTCATGTGAGCTGCAAATACGGATTCCATTTGTGGTACAAGGTTGCATATATAATCTATAAAAATGGATATATCCATTGGGTCAAAATTTTTTTTCAAATTATTAAATTCTCAATAGTTAGCTTGAATGCTGAGAACAAACTGAGGGCTGGGGGGAAGAAAAGAAGGGCGGTGATGGGCATGGAGGAGGGCACTTGTTGGGATGAGCACTGGGTGTTGTATGTAAACTAACTTGACAATAAACTATTTAAAAAGTTCTGAATAGTTAATGTCAGCTTCAGAATATAAATATAGAGAAAGCTATATAAAAATCTCTCCGAAAATTTAAGAAAATTGAAATCAAGGAGCCACAAAATCCACATAAACAGAATGGATTCATGTCTCTCCCCTTCAAATAGATCTCCCTTCAGGGCTCCAAATTGAGTAGAAGTCTCCAACATAAACTAATAGCTTCACTTCAGAGACTCAAGTTTGCACCTCCCAACCTCTTTCTTGCCAACATGCCCAAATCACCTTCACAATGGAGGGAAAAATCTTTCTTCTCCAGATATCAATTCCATGGAATTCATGCCTTGTAAAAATGTCACATCACTGGATATTGGTTAAGAACCAGCTAAAATGTAATTCTATGCTGTCCACTATACACTCCAGTACAATCTGTCAATTTCTACCTGAAAATGTTTCCACAAGCTCATCTCCCATGCTCTCTTAACATCATACTTCACATGACTGAGCACTGCCTCTCTGGTATGACATGTCCACAATTATAACTGGCTCCCCAAAGCTTTACTCACTGGCTGAATTTTCCCTCCAGCACTATTCTCTTCAGTTTCAGTGATGACCAACCACATGCTAATCCATTTCCATGCTTCTTTTCCTGTAATCCCATGCCTACTTCACTTTTGGAAACTTTACTGTGACAAATTTAGGTTACACACTCAAAGTCTTCTCCATAATATCCAGATTGTTTCAAGACCTAGTGTTTATAAAGGCACAGATTCTGAACTCCTCCACGGCAGGCATTACTAAAACTTCAATCACATGAGTATTTATAAGATAATCATATTACCTAACAATTATTATAATTTTTTGTTAACATTGAAGAAAATGCTCAATATGTTCTGTTTACCAGTCTTGGGTTAGCTTTCCATAATTGTACTTGAGATTCTGAGGGGGATGAGTAAATTATCAACCAAATATTATGGAAATAGATTCAAATTACATATTTCTCATAAGATGAGGGGACTTTATATTCCTTAACCAGGGAAAGCAGATCATGGATATCCTGGGGTCACCACTCAAGAACAGAAAGGGCTGACAGTTGGAAAGCACAGAATGATTACTGAAGAGGTTATTGATCAAGAGGTACCACTTGAGATCATAAAAAAGAGACAAAACAATATGAAAAATAGAGAAGAGGGTGTTAAAGTAGACAAAGGTGCTCACTAAGAGAAGGATGGTTTTGGTGGCTGTGGACTCAGAGGATGATGTGGAGGACAGACTGGTCGGATGAATGTGCTGGACCCTCTGCTTGTGCCTGTACAGGATGAAAACCATGGAGCCACTGAACCAGATCATGAGGCCTAAAAATAACACATCAGGGAATGATAACAACGCTGCAAACAATGAGTCCTCAGCTTTATTATGACGAACAGCTGAACAGTATCCAAAACCTTTTTTGCTTGTGATGTTTTTGTAGTTCAAAGGGCTACTCATAAACATTAGATACATGATAGTCACCAGTATCTGCAAGACCCAGCACAGGACAAGTGAAGGGACAAGGCACTGGAGAGCTTTCCCTTTAAGTGCTGCCCACCGGGAGTTCTGGGGGCTGATCATGATGACACTCAAGAGGCAGGTCCCACCAATGGACACACCCCTGAACACTCCCCGAACATGGAGGGAAATTTTGCATCCAAAATCACTGAGGATATGACACCACCCAAAAGATGACAGTGTACGGTGTATTCCAAAAGAGACCATGACCAAAAGGTTGGCTACAATCAGGTCCCTGACGAACAAATCTGTAGGCCTTGGCCTACACTCAGTCAAAGAAAGGAGGACATAAAGGTAAAGAAGAGAGAAGTTCCCCAGGATTCCAAGCACAGTCTGGACTAAGAAGATCACTCCTTGGTTAAAATAAAATAATCAGGAGACTATAGATGCTGGTGAGGATGTGAAGAAATGGGCATCCTCCTACACTGTTGGTGGGAATGTAAACTGGTGCAGCCCCTCTGGAAAACAGTGTAGTGGTTCCTCAAAAAATTAACACTAGAACTCCCCTATGACCCAGGAATAGCACTGCTAGGGATTTGCCCAAAGGATACAGAAGTGCTAATGCGTTGGGGCACATGTAGCCCGATGTTCATATCAGGACTTTCAACAATAGCCAAACCATGGAAAGAGCCTAAATGTTCATCAACTAACAAATGGATCAAGAAGATGTGGTTTATCTATACAATGGAATACGCCATGGCAATGAGAAAGAATGAAATCTGGCCATGTGTAGCAACGTGGATGGAACTCAAGGGTGTTATGCTGAGTGAAATAAGTCAGGCAGAGAAGGACAGATACCATATGTTTTCACTCATATGTGAAACAGGAGAAACTTAACAGAGGATCATGGGGAAGGGGAAAAATAGTTGGGGAGAGGGAGCGAGGCAAACTATAAGAGACTCCTGAATACTGAGAACAAACTGAGTGCTGATGGGGGAGGGAGAGAGGGGAAGGGGGGGAGATGGACAAGGAGGAGGGCACTTGTTGGGATGAGCACCGGGTGTTATATGGAAACCAACTTGACAATAAACTACAAAAGAAAAAAAGAAAAAGAAGATCACTCCTACTGCCAGATTCTGGGTGGCCATCCTGTCAGTCCTCAGTGACTGATACTTGTCTTCTGGGCTCGCACATCCTGCATGGAAATAGGAGGCAGCGACCACAGGAATCATGTCAGCTGAAATCCGATATTCTCCACTTAACAACACTTCCTACATTCAAATAATTACTTAAAGTTCTTCACTCATTTAGGGCCTTCCAAGAGTTCCATGCACAACCATTACACAATATTTGCTACATGTGAATTAGTGTTATAATGACCACCCATGTATTAACTTCTTATTTCTTAAAAATACATGAAGCAGGCACTATTACATTCCTTATAAAGATGAGGACCACATAAGCCCGGAGAGTTTGAATTCATTCACAGATGAGGGACAGAATGGGGACTGAAACATGACTGGGTGGGGAACAAAATTAGTGCATTTAATCCATAATATGGGAAAATGGTAGTAAGCTGTGTTATTTTTTTATATTATATTATATTATATTATATTATATTATATTATATTATATTATATTTAGAGAGAGGGAGAGCAAGTGGAAGAGGGGCAGAAGAGAGGGAGAGAGAAAATCCCAACTCACAGCCCAACAAAGGGCTCAAACTCAGGAACTGTGAGCTCATGGCATCTGACCTGGAAATGAGTAGTCTATGGAAGGCTTTTCTCCCCTTTGCTCTTAAGTTCTCCACCATTTCTCATTATCTGGAGAAACCACATTTTGCAAATATGCATATTTATGGCATCCATAAACCCCTCTTTTATGGTTTCACTGTGTACAGTCAAACTGAATATGCTGAAGTCTTAGCGTCCAGGACCTCAGAATAGGGTCATTGCAGGTGGAATTCCTTAAGATGACATCATACCAGAGTAAGTAGTCACCTAAACCAACATGACTGGCATCCTTGTGTAAAAAGTGGAGATTTGGTAAGAAATGGGCAGAAGATATGAACAGACATTTCTCCAAAGTGGACATCCAGATGGCCAACAGACACATGAAACGATGCTCAGCATCCCTCCTCATCAGGGAAATATAAATCAAAACCACACTGAGATACCACCTCAAGCAAGTCAGAGTGGCTAAAATGAACAAATCAGAAAACTCTATATGCTGGCGAGGATGTGGTGAAACGGGCACCCTCCAACACTGTTGGTGGGAATGTAAACTGGTACAGCCCCTCTGGAAAACAGTGTGGAGGTTCCTCAAAAAACTGACAATAGAACTCTCCTATGACCCAGCAATAGCACTGCTAGGAATTTACCCAAGGGATATAGGAATGCGGATGCATAGGGGCACATGTACCCCAACATTCACAGCAGCACTCTCAACAATAGCCAAAACATGGAAAGAGCCTAAGTGTCCATCAACTGATGAATGGATCAGGAAGATGTGGTTTATGTATACAATGGAATACTCCATGGCAATGAGAAAGAATGAAATCTGGCCATGTGGAGCAACATGGATGGAACTTGAGGGTGTTATGCTGAGTGAAATAAGGACAGAGAAGAGAAGGACAGATACCATATGTTTGCACGTATAGGAGGATTAGGAGGAACTTAACGGAGGACCGTAAGGGAGAAGAGGGGAAACGGGGGGAGAGAGAGGGAGGCAAACAATGAGAGACTCTTGAATGTTGAGAACAAACTGAGGACTGATGGGGGTGGGAGAGGGGGAGGGGGATGATGGGCATGGAGGAGGGCACTTGTGGGGATGAGCACTGGGTGTTATATGGAAACCAACATGACAATAAACTATTTTTAAAAAGTGGAGATTTGGAAAAACAAATGTACACGGGGCGAACACCACATGAATTTATGCTGCCACATGTCAAGAAAGAAGCTGGCTAGTGGCCTGGAACAGACTCTCCCTCAGGACCTTCAAAGGGAACACGGCACTGAGAACACTTTGATCTTCGACTTTTAGCTTCCAGAACTACCAGAAAATAGAATTTCTGTTGTTTCAGCCACTCTGTTCAGGGTCCTTGTTCTGGCAACCCCGATAAACTGACACACCTTCCCTTACTACTGGCCTCCCCACAAGCAGAAGCACCTTTGAATCAGAAAAGGCTGCCTTTCTATGTCCTTCGTCATAGAAAGGATTCAAAGACAAAAAGCACTGGCCTGAGGGTCAAACCACGAGCTTCTCCTCCCATCTTCAGAGACATTGCCCTCCTAGAAACATCTCCATCCTGCTACAGCACTGGGGATGGGACTGCACCAATTTCCTCTGACAAAACCCAGGCACGGCAGACCACTGATACTTCCCCAAGGGCCAGAGCTTCGGCTTCACTCCCAGAAATGAGTCCTGAAGACATAGCAACACACAGAATGAAGGTGGGGGAGGTGTGAAGCACAAGTTATGGTTTTTCCCCACTGCTGATCCTAAGTGTGACATTAACAGAACAGTAATGGATGGTGAGTTTAGATAGAGTCTTCTGTAGGTTTACACTTACTCTCAGATTACGTTTTCTTCTTTACACTTTCTGTTAAATTGGGCAACATGATAAGTGAACATTTAATGAAAAGTTATGGCATGAGGGTCCGCAGATCGTGAGGTATTGCATCTTACAGTCATTGTAAAGGCAATTTCCCAAGTATGCACGCACTGTGAGATCATGCAAAAATGGTGGACGGCTCATCCCATCTCAAGAACCACTGAGACCATCCTCGTGCACAAAGCAACTGGACCAGGTACCAATACCCCATGATGTGTGGGAGAGCCAACATTTAACCCCTTTTTTTAAAATTACAAAATATCACTATTTCTTCCTAATACTCTAGGAACATTGCTTATATTTCCAAACATTACAGAGAATGGGATTTATTTTTGTTTTAAATTCCAGTTAGTTAACATATACTGTGATATCAGTTTCAGGTGTACCTAAAGTGTACTTTTTAATCCCCATCAGATCTATAACCCATGCCTCCCATCCAGCTCCTCTCTGGTAACCATCAATGTGTGCTCTATATTTAAAAGACAAACAGGGCACCTGGGTAACTCTGTTGGTTAAGTGTCTGACTTCCACTCAGGACACAACCTCACGGTTCATGGGTTTGAGAACCCTGTCAGGCTGTGTGCTGACAGCTCAGAGCCTGAAGGCTGCTTCAGATTCTATGTCTCTCTCTCTCTCTCTCTCTCTCTGCCCCTCCCCGGCTCATTTGTCTCTTTATCTCTCAAAAATAAAGAAACATTATTTTTTTAACTTAAAAAAGGGACCAGATATATTCAGTATCAAGAAGTTTTTCATTCACCTCTTTAAATGCACAAAGAGGGGTGGTGAGAAGAAATGACTCATTGATAATCATCATGGAATAAACTGAAGTGTTGGGGGGAATAGTGGAAATCTATTTCTATTGCATAAAGGTATCTCCTTCACAGACTAATGACCAAGAAATCTATTTGACTATAAAGTAAAGCCCATATAACAAGATTTATGTACACATTGAAGCAAAACAGAATATGTTAAAAGGTATGTATTTATTTTTATGTCATTTCTGATATAATATCAGATATACCCCAAGGCAAGAATGAAAGACAGAATACACATAATATGAAGAAAATCATTACAGCTGGTAATCGAAATTGCATCAGTTGTTGGGTATCAATACCTGATGTTATTGTTTATCAAAAAGCATGTTTCTGCATTTACAGGCAACCTTGGAGATACTGCACATTTGGTTCCAGACCACAGTGTCAAGCAGCTATCTCAAAAAGAATTCAGATAATGAATTTTTCACCTCCTCAGTTCTCATATCTCATTTTCTACCTATTGCAGTCTATTGAGTATACCATAGTATTGTATCTATATTATATGTAGAATAGCAATGTGCATATGATTAAAACACTTAATAGCAGGAAAATTCTAACCTTCTTCTGAGCTTTTAGTGAGTCACAAATTTTTGCTGGTGGAAGGTCTTGCCTCCATATGGTAGGCTACTGACTGGTCAACGTGGGTATTACTGAAGCTTAGAGTGGAGGTGGCAATTTCTTTATTTTATTTTATTACTTATTTATTTATTTATTTATTTACGAGGCCCCAGCGAGATGGAGCTGGCAATTTTTTAAAAAAAGACATCAATGGAGTTTGCTTCATTGACTGAGACTTTCTTTCACAATGATTTCTCTGTATCTTGCAATGCTCTCTCATAGCATTTTAGCCACAGAACTGCTTTCAATCTTGATGAGGTCCCAAGAGTTTATTTTTGCTCTTGATTCCCTTGCTTTGGGGGATGTGTCAAGTAAGAGGTTCCTGCGGTGGAGGTCAAGGAGGTTGTTTCCTGCTTTCTCCTCTAGGGTTTTGATGGTTTCCTATCTCACGTTCAGGTCCTTTATCCATTTTGAGTTTATTTTTGTGTATGGTGTGAGAAATTGGTCTAGTTTCAATCTTCTGCATGTTGCTGTCCAGTTCTCCCAACACCATCTGTTAAAGAGGCTGTCTTTTTTCCACTGGATATTCTTTCCTGCTTTGTCAAAGGTTAGTTGGCTGTACATTTTTGGGTCCACTTTTGAGTTCTCAATTCTGTTCCATTGGTCAATGTGTCTGTTTTTGTGCCAATACCATACTGTCTTGATGATGACAGCTTTGTAGTAGAGGCTAAAGTCTGGGATGGTCATGCCTCCCGTTTTGGTTTTACTTTTCAGTATTACTTTGGCTATTTGGGGTCATTTGTGGTTCCATACAAATTTTAGGATAGTTTGCTCTAGCTTTGAGAAGTATGCTGGTGCAATTTTGATTGGAATTGCATTGAATGTGTAGATTGCTTTGGGTAGTAATGACATTTTAACTAAATTTATTCTTCCAATACATGAGCATGGAATGTTTTTCCATTTCTTTGTGTCTTCTTCAATTTCCTTCATAAGTACCCCAATGTTCATAGCAGCACTCTCAACAATAGCCAAAACATGGAAAGAGCCTAAGTGTCCATCAACGGACAAATGGATCAAGAAGATGTGGTTTATCTATACCATGGAATACTACATGGCAAGGAGAAAAAATGAAATCTGGCCTTGCGTAGCAACATGGATGGACCTTGAGGGTGTTATGCTGAGCGAAATAAGTCAGGCAGAGAAGGACAAATATCATATGTTTGCACATATAGGAGGATTAGGAGGA